CAATTGATTTTTCATTAAAAATGAAAAAAATATTTTCTTTAAAAAAACATCATTTCTCTTTTTTTTGTCATTTTTATAGAGTATTAATTTTTTTAATTTAATTATGTTAAAATTGATGTTTACAAATAAATTTTTTATATTTTTAAAATATAAATGTCAATAATAAAATGTTTATAGAGAAGCGTGTTGGGTTTGTGGAGACATGGGTTCCGACGGTAGGAACCTAACGGCCATTGCATTCGAACCCAGCACGCATGGGTTCCAGCCAGCGACCACTACATTCGAACCCAGCAAGTTGGGTTAGGTTCGAACCAAGAACAATTGGGTTCCAACAGTTGGAACCCAATGGCTACTGGGTTCAAACCCAGCACGCTTGGATTCCAACATCTAGAACCCAGCGTTTAGAACCCTGTCACACCCTAGAACCAAATTCGAGGACAAAGCAGACGTGGTACACTCGTGAAAGGGTCCCATAAATGCATAAGATTTGAAACTTATCATACCACAATCTGATACCACAAAATCTGAAGATAAAATTTTTAAATTTGCCTTGATATCATAAAATCTCCAAATAAAATCTAGCTTACAAAATCATAATTTATATCTAAAATTTATGCTCAATTTACAAGATGGCTAGCCTTCTAACTCGTCACTCCCCTCGTTTTTCCCCATCCTTGACTTCGCTTCCTGAAATGGTGGACAAAGAAAAACTATAAGATAACTCAGTAAGCAAATATGGATAGCCCTTAAGTAAAATTTTAGCATGCCTAATAACCAGTTTAACGTAACAAAACGGAATTGGAGAAGAACTAACACCAAATTGGAAAGAAATAAAAGCAATTAGAGTGAACCCAAGCCAAATTAAGAGGGAAAAGATGAATTCCATGGTTGTTGCTTACCCAAAATAACCGAAAATTTCACCCACCCAGCAACAGGGAGCTCGTGGCAGAGGGAAGAAAGCAGACCTGGAAAATTCTAGGTTTAATAGGTGTTCTAGAACAAGAAAAGAAGGAGAAATCCCCAAGTTTTACCCGTGTTCCCGACCGAAAATGGGTGGCAGTAGCTAGGGAGCTCGTCAGGTTGCAGAGGGTCGGGCGGAAGAGGAAGAGCAAGACACCCGTGGGAAGAAGAAAGAAAGAAAAGAAAAAGAAAAGAAAAGAAATTAGTCAATCCTTATCCTATTTCCTTTCTTCTAAGTCCCTCAACTTTAGAGTTTTTAGCTATTAAGCCCCAAAACAATCGTTCTCCCAAAATAAGTCCCCTAACTTAATTGATAAAATTCCCAAAAATTTGAGATATTACAGTTTAACAAACTCCCACTGACAGGCGTCAGTAATAACCAGTGTTTAACAACTCCCACTAGCAGGCGTCAGTAATTACCAGTGTTTAACAAGCTCCCACTAGCAAGTATCAGTAATTACCAATGTATTCGCCCATTGGCAGGAGTCGGTAAGTACCAGTGTTTAACAAACTCTCACTGGCAGGCGTTAGTAATTACCAATGTATTATCCCATTGGCAGGATTACAGAATGAACCGGTCATATTAGTAAACATGTCAACATGTGCTAGTGATTGCAAACTCCCATTGGCGGGCATTAGTAATCATGACCATATCAGAGACAAAACCATGCAGGATTTACAGAAAATCCGTAATTCACAATCAATCTTAAATTTCAGAAATAAACCGAAAAATTTCCATGTGAGCATGTATTTAACAGAAAAACTCAGAATTTACAAAATTCTCAGTTCATCATGGCAATTCAGTCAATTCCAAATAGGCATGCTCTACTCAATGCAAATGAAAACAATTTCATTTCAAACCAATCATGCTCGGTGCAAATAAAATCAATTTAAAATCAATTTAAACCTTGCCGTCATCTCAAAAACAATTTAAAACCTGCTTTAAAATCAAAGGACATTACCATAATTTACTTATCTCACTCGCATAAAATCGAAAACTCGATCTCAGTGCTAAACTGACAGAACAATCAGGAACCTAATCAAAATATCCAAGAATTAATTACCGTACCATGGATTCAAAAGTAAAATCACCATGACTACCCCCTAATCAAGATGCTATTTTTATTGGTCTCCACGTGACCGAACATCTCTAATTTCATTCTTATTAGAAACTAAACATTTAATCCTGTTAATTGTTGCCGGCAATAACCCCCAATAATGCAATTTTATTTTATTCTATTTTTCTTCCTTTTGAATTTAAGCACAAAATCAGATTGTGTATTTATATATACACATAAATACACATGCATAATTTTCCCAATCCCACGGACAACATGGAGGAACCGGACTTGGCAAGGCAATAGCTAATTCATGTGATTTTCTCTAGACATCACAGCAGCCTAATTAACAAAATTCCTACATAAACCAAGCACAAAAACACATTTAAAATGCTGCCAAATCCTTCCCTTGTTTCGGCAGAAATTTTCGTACAGCAAAGGGGGTAGCAACTAACGGGTTCCTTCCACAATACACAGAAAATTGCAACAATACAGGGTAGCAATTAATTGATAAAAATCCAAGCTTACGGAAGCTATCATCTTACCAAAATTTTATGACAAGCAGAACCAGATCTGGCAGGTATGGTAGGGACAGGATTCGCAAAGAACTAACACGAAATTGAAGGAAAAAAAAAAAAATTAGAGTAACCCAACTTGAATCAAGGCTAAAGGGATGATTTCATGGTTAATTCATACCAGAAAACCGAAATTACACACCCACCGGCAAGAGCAGCTCGCGGACAGGGGAAGGGAGCAACTGTAGATCTGAAAATTCCTTGGCTTTAGAGGGAGTTCTAGGCCCCAAATCTTGTTCTTGAATAAGAAAAGAGGAGAAAAATA